CTATTAAATTCAGTTGTTTAGAGTTTATTAGTAGGTTTTGTACACATATACACATCCAAGAATGACATTGGGAGTGTGAATGAAAGTCGATCGATCCACTGGGACGATCGAGTTCCGATAATATAAAAATATTGTCTTTGTAGTTTGTAGTTTGTACATATATATGGTTTTTGTAGTAGCGTGGAAGAGACGGTACGCATGTTTCTTCCATGTCTCCCTCCCATGCATCAACTGCATGTAAGTTTGTAACCCTTGAGCTTTTTAATTAACTATAGGGGAATTTATCTGAGTCGTACTAAAACATAATAATTTTCTTAATGTAGTATTACGCGGAGTATGTTTTATTTTTTCAATGTAGTACCACTGTTCAATGTCCAACCGGTCATTGTTAAAGTAAATGTCCAGCGCCACTAGACATTGTTCAAACTAAATGTCCACTATCACTGGACATCGTTCTCACCACTAGACATTATTCAAGTACTATTTAGAGAATAAAATTTTTTTAGATACTACGTAGGGAAAAGACATACTTCCTCCGTCCCTGAAAACCTTTCTCCTTTCTTTTTTCATATGTCCCAAAAAACACTTCTTATTTATATTAAAAAGTCATTCTTACCCCTTACCTTTTCATACCCTACCTATGACCTCATACCTTTTTACTAATAATCTACCTATCAAATCCTACTTTTACCCATTACATCAAAAGATATTTTTGGAAATTCAATACCAAAATACACTCCTCTTAAATCTCTTCAAAATCAAAATATCTCATGTTTAAAGAGACGGAGGGAGTATGTTTTAGTACTATTCAATGCAAATTTCACTTAATTGTATATACTCTGTATGCGTTCTAGGAATTGAAGAGTTTATGTTAGGAAAATACTCCCTCTACCCCGAATTAAATGTGTAAATTACTCTAAATAAGACATTGTTCAAACTAAATGTCCACTAAATAACTATGGGTTTCCTTAAAGAAATCACTATAGATAGGAGTAAAAAACTATGAAAATACCAAAATAAGCATCCTAAGTCTTTTAAGACCAAAATAGGAGTATAATGGCAGTGTAATGTAAAAATACATGTTGGCAGTGTGATGAAAAAGTGATGACAATGTTATATGGCAGTGTGATCCCTCAACTATCGACTGCCCTCAGCGGCACTCTAGTGGCCGGTAGTGACAAATGACAGTATGACAATAATAGTGTGGCAGTTGCAATGTGACAATGTGGTGAGTGTGACAGTATAACACTTATAGTGTGAACTCTTATTTTAGTCTAAAAAGACTTAGAACTTCTATTTTGGTATTGTCAAAGATTTTTATTCCTGTCTAAGGAGTTTTCTCTTTTCCCAAATAAGTCACCAAAGTTAATTAATTCCCAAGATGCCATGGTACTCATTAATTGAAAAGAATGCTCACTTCAATCCCCCCAATTAACGGCCATTAAAATGGCGTTATAACGATATTAAACTTTATACTCCCTCTGTCCCATAAAACTCTTCCCGTTTCAAAAAAGGTGCACCTTTAAAATGAGTAATTTTGGTGTTATTTTTTAATTTTGACTCATCTATCCTATACATTTCATCCTATTCCATTATAAAGGGAAAAATTAGAAAATAACACTAAAATTTTTTATTTTAAGGGTGCACCTTTTGCTCAAAAACAAAGAGTTTTATGGGACGGAGGGTGTAGAATTTTTCCAAAATGGTACTTTCTAATTCGGCGTTTTCTCAAATTTGTCCATTTTTAAATAAAAGTACATTAATTATGGAAAAAAAAATTAAATTTTATTTGATGATAATATAATACTTAAAACTATAAATATCATTTTATAAATTTTAAATTAAATGTTTTTGATTATTTGTAATTATTTCAAGGAATATCATGTAAATAAAATGTTTAATAATTGTTAAATAAATCAACCTAAATGGGAGCTAAGTACACTACTACAAAAATGAGCAAAATAGAAGCTTTTTATCTATATTTTACTCCTATTTAGGTTGATTTCATCAACGCTTATTAAATATTTTGCTTACATGATATTCTTTTAAATAATTGTAAATAGTTTAAAAATTTATTTTCAAATTTATAAAATTATAATTATTGTTTTTAGTATTATATTATCATTCTATACAATTTAAAATATTTCTCCATAATTAATGTATTTTTATTTAAAAATGGACCAATTTGAGAAAATACCCAGTTAAAAAGTATTATTCAGGGAAAGTACTATAAAATTTAATGTCTTCTTAACGTCGTTATTTTGGAGGACTGAACTGAACATTATTTTCAATTACTGAGTACCATTTCCAGAATTAGTCAATTTTGATGACTAATTTGAGAAAATACATAGTTATTGAGTATTATTTTGGAAACTTACTCTTTTTTTAATTTCTCCCTAATGTTCTTATATGTTTAGCGGAAAATACCTTCAGTGGTCAAAGATGAGGTTTATATGCGCTTGCTACGAAGTTTTTCGAACTCCTCTGATATGGTGTGAAAACTCAAGAAATCTTTGAATGGATTGAAATAATCACCAAGATGTTGGTTTGCTAAACTATCTGGAGCTTTGAGACGCTATACTTTTGTTCAGTCCATTGTTGACTACTCCTTGTTCTCTTTTGTTGGAAAATGGAGTGATTCATGTTTTGATTTATATTAATGATTTGATTATTGCTGGAGATAATACGGAAAAAATAACCAAATTCAAATTATATTTGGCTGATTGTTTCACATGAAGAAGTTGGGAATATTGAAGTTTTTTCTTGGCATTAAGGTAGCTCAAAGTGCATCTACCAACAAAAGTAAGCCTTAGATATTACTAGGCCGGTCTCCAGGGTGCCAAATCGTTAGGTGCGTAGATGGAGCCCAACCATAATTTTGCACGTTCCCAATTTCCCATGCTTGCTGACCCAGAACCTTATTGACGTCTGGTGGGCGTTTGATTTGTTTATGTGTTTATTTATCTGTTACTCGGCCATAGTTGTCTTATGTTGTGCACACTTTGGTACAATTTTTTAAGGAACTCAAAGAGAATTAGTGGACTACTGCCCTTGGAGCTGTTCGGTACTTGAAAAAGGTGTCCAAGACAGGGTATTCTCCTTTTTGCACATAGTAATATAGAGCTTACTAGGTGGTTTGTTCAACTCGTAAATTCACTCGTGACTTGGAAGAAAATGAAGTAAAAGACGGTTGCTCGTTCGTCTATTGATGCTAAGTATCGGGCCATTGCTGCTATCACTTGTGAGTTTAAGTGCTTGAAGAGTCTCTTACATTGTCTAGGAGTCTAGCACGATCATCCTATGACTATTCATTATAACAGCACCACTGCACTTCATATTACAGCTAATCTAGTGTTTCATGAGCGCACGAAGTATATTGAAATCGATTTCTATTTTGTTTGTGATGAGCTTCTTTGCGGTGTGATTCGTACACATCATGTTCTTACTACGCACCAGTTTGCATATATTCATACAAAGGCATTCAGAAAATCTCGTATGGAGTTTCTTATTCCCAAGTTGGGCATTTCGCTTTTGCATGCTCCAACTTAAGGAGGGGGGGGGGGGTGTTAAAGAAAAGTATATATTTTCGTATATTTCTGTATATATTATTATGGTAGTTTCCCAATATATGACGATTCTTTTCCCTTTGTATTTAGTTTCTATATAGAGTTTCTAACCTGTGGGCTCCTATATATACACCCTTTGTTTATATTGTGAAGATGAGAAATACAAGATAAATTTTCCCAAATATTATTCTTTCACTTTTCCTTTTTTTTTTTGTACAAGACCTAATTCTTTCATGGTATCTATGTAGTGGTGGCAATGGGTCAGGTTTGGTCGGGTTTTAATTTAATATATCGAAATCCGATCCGATTTAGGTTGGGTTCAGATCAGATTTGGTTTTGGTAGATCGTGTTTGGATATTTTTTTTAAATTCAGATTCGGTCAAAAGATTCGGTCGAGTCGGTTACGCTCAATTTTGGATTTGAATACTAGTAAGTGCTTGATGACTAAATTATGATTGAAATACATACATTAACAATCTAAAATTTTAAAGATGACAAAAAAGTTAAGACATTAACAAAAGAAATAATACAAAGTACAAATAAAATAAAACATTGGCATCACTCAAGATTTTTCCATAATAGAAAATAAAATGCAAAGAAATTTAATACGTTTTAAAACATTCAAAAAATTAAATTTTTAAAATGGTACTCAATAATAATGTGTTCTTCTAAAAAAGTGCCCAAGATAAACTAATAACCACGATGATACTCGTTGATTGGAAATAATAATGCTCAATATAGTTTTCCTAACTAACGGTCGTCAAAACGGCGTAAAAACGACATTAAAATTTATACAAAGTACTACTTTTCTAAAATGATCCTTTCAAATTGGATATTTATCCAAATTAATCAATTTCGAAATAAAAACTCAACAATTTTAAATTGTATAGGATGCAAATATAACAAATAAAAATATAAATATAATTTAATAAATTTGAAAGTGAACATTTTGGATTATTTAGAATTATTTAGAAAAAGATCATGTAAATAAAATATTTAATAAATAGTTATATCCATTTAGAAATTAGACTCATGCTTTGATTTAAAATGTTTGACCAAGATTTTTTTTAAATAAATATAATTTAAAATTATTCTAATTTTTTTGTTAACATGAATATTATTTTGGATGAAAGAAATATTTTGAAATTAGATTCGGTTTTTGAAATAATAATTTTTGTGAAAATAAAGTATAAATTTCAAATTTACATAAAATTATGTTTGGTAATTAATTATGGAATTACATAATTAATATGGAATGAAATAAATATATTTTACTTTTATTTTGAGTGATTTTTTAAATATTGCATATTCATTTGGAAATTAGAGCCGCGCACTAATAAAAAATCAAAATACCCGCCACTCGTTTCCCGCCCGATCGAAAACACAATCTCACCTTACAGATATAAGCCCTAACAAGACTCTTCTCTAACGTAGGAGGAACAAAACGAGCGATTTCATCCGGGAATTGGTACGGAGAAGTAGAAGGCTCTCAGATCCAAATCCTCCATGAAGATCAGAACAATTAAGCTCCGAGAAGCTCACAAGAACGGCAGCGGCGGCGCCTCCCTATGCTCGATTCTGTGGGACCAGAGCGGCGAACACCTCGTCACGGCGTCTACCTCCGATTCGTCTATTTGCATCCATGATGCTATTTTTCCTGCGAATCCGCCCAAAGTTCTGAGAAATCACAGAGATGGCGTGACCGCTCTTGCTCTGAGCTCCAATTCCACCTGCCTCGCCTCCGGATCTGTTGACCATTCCGTCAAACTCTACAAATTTCCAAGTATGTTGTTTTGTTCATTGTTTTAGGGATAATTTGGTCCATTTAGATGCATTTTCCTTCTGATTTCATTAAAAGTTGAATTGCCTAAGAACGAGGTGAATAAAGAAATTTGCTTGCCTTCATCTGGTTTTCTTTCATTTCTATAGCAGATGTGATAGAGAAAATTGAGTTCATCTAGGGTTTTTGTTTGTATATTCGTGAATATGATTTTGATTAGTTTTTTCTTCAGTGTGATGTTCGTAATGTGTACTTGACTACTTGTACAGTTGAACTAGAGTAGTTGTTATCTTGGCATCATGGGCTCTATAAAGCTCTTTGGTCCCATGATTAATTTCATGCTGGACTTTATGAAATTTTAAAAAGTGTGATAGGAATTTGTTTAGAAGAGAAGGAAATGTAATGAGCCACACATTCTTTTCCTTAGTAGGAAATACTAACACTATGTTTGGTTCGAGGAATTTGAAAGGGAAAATAAAAGAAAATGAGAGGGAAAACAATTTTTCATGTTTGGTTAGAGAGGAAAGGAAAAGAAAAGTGAAAGGAAAAGAAAATAAGAAGACAAATTGTACTAAGATGAGGGAAAACCAAATTCCTCCCATTTGGTGAGGAAAGTGAGAAAATCATTTTCTTTTGTTTTCCTTCCAAATTCCTTGAACCAAACATAGTGTAGAAGTGTGAATTTTATTATGGGACACAGAAATAGAAAGTTTCAAGGTAATTGTGGGAGAGAGTATTCGAGTATGATTTATGAACTGTGACAATAGGTAATTCATATTTCATATATTTTTTCAGGCTATTAAGAATCTAAAAAATTATATAAAAAGATAATGGCTTGAAAAAGTTGTCTGATTTCAAGGCAGTGAGTTTAAGTAAGATGTGAAGTGCCCTGAGTTTTAAGGTGAGTATGACAACTATTACTTTAAATTTTGCGGGTTTTGCATAATTAAGTCATTTTTTGTTTGAAGCTCATATTTTCCTGTTTAATGCATGACTTGCCATATATCATTCTCATAATATTTTTATGCATGTGGGCATAATCTATGAGATGATGATGATGATGATGGCAGTTTTAGATTTTTTATCTCATTATTCTACCTGAAGAGGCTTGTGATAGGAAGAGCATTCTATGTGTTTTGGCATTACTTTATAGTGTCAAGTGATTTTATACAATTAATTAGCGCTACAAATTTAATTCCACTCACACCAACTTCTTGGATCAAGGTGTTGTCTATGATGATGATGATGTTATTGATTTATAAACACTTCTATCAGGTGGAGAGTTTGAGACAAACATAACTAGATTTACATTGCCAATAAGGGCACTTGCCTTCAATAAGGCAGGCACTATGTTAGCAGCTGCTGGTGATGATGAGGGCATTAAACTAATAAATACCATTGACGGCACAGTTGCCAGAGTTCTTAAAGGGCATCGAGGGTCTGTTACGGGTATAGATTTTGATCCTAAAAGTGAATATCTGGCTTCAGTTGATTCTGTAGGAACTGTCATACATTGGGAGCTACAGTCAGGAAAAATAATTCATACCCTGAAAAACATAGCTCCTGCTACAGGTTTGGACCATGCTTTCATGAATACGCTTAGTTGGAGTCCTGACGGGGAACTACTAGCTGTCCCTGGCTTGAAGAATGATGTGGTTATTTATGACAGAGACACTGCTGAAAGGCTATTTTCATTACGTGGTGATCATGTCCGGCCTATTTGCTTTTTATCATGGTCACCTAATGGAAAGTATATGGCTACTTCTGGCTTAGATAGACAGATTTTGGTATGGGATGTTGATAAGAAACTTGATATCGATAGACAGAGGTTTGACAATATGATATGTTGTATGTCATGGAAGCCCCAGGGAAATACTCTAGCAGTTATCGATGCTATGGGAAAATTTGGTTTATGGGAATCTGCTGTTCCATCATCTATGAAATCCCCCACTGAAGATATTCCTAGCTTGGGATCAAAGGGTAGTAATGGATTACTTCTCTTTGATGATGAAGAGGGGCACAGTGTAGATGGGAGTATGAGTGATATTGGGGAACATAGTCCTGATGACTCTGATCCACTGCCTAGCCGAAAAAGAATACGCAAGCAGTCTATTTCTGATGATTATTTAGAAGCAGATGTAAAAGAGTTTGACTTATTTCCGAAACTTGAATCTCGTAAAAAGCCTGCTCATGGTCACCAGGTTAGCACAGATAGGAAGAAAACTGAATTAAAGAGCACTGCCGTGTCAGCAGGTCCGAAAATGCAAGAAGCTTTTCAACCAGGAGCAACTCCTATACAACCTGGAAGAAGGCGCTTTCTCTGTTATAGTATGCTTGGTAGTATAACAACTATGGAGCATGATGGATATTCACATATAGAGGTACTTGAGACTATTGATTGTCAGAACTAAAGTTCCAAACATATAAATCTAACCATATGTATGTATCAATTGAATTAATGCAGATCGATTTTCACGATACAAGTAGTGGTCCTCGTGTTCCTGCTATGACAGATTACTTTGGCTTTACCATGTCTTCTTTAAATGAAAATGGAAGTGTATTTGCAAATCCGTGCAAGGGTGAGAAGAATATGAGTACACTCATGTATCGCCCATTCAGTAGTTGGGCTAATAACAGTGAGGTTAGTCTTATTCATAATTCTTTTTAGTGACTATTGCCTTTTTCCACAATAACAAATATAATGTGTGCTTGTATGTATAGTTAAAAATTAAATTGTTGAAGTTTTAGTATTCTATAGAGGTGTTTTATTATAATTTACTTGTAGTTGTAATGTGTTTGTACTTTCTTTTGTTCATATATAGTGGTCAATGAGATTTGAAGAGGAAGAAGTCAGGGCTGTGGCACTTGGAAATGCGTGGGTAGCTGCCATTACAAGTCTTAATTTTCTTCGTGTCTTTTCTGAGGGCGGGTTGCAGGTATTTCATAATAGTTACCCAAGGTTGATCGATATAGTTTCTAATTATGTAATGCTATTCTGAAATTACATAGTGAAATATAATCTCAAACTGCAACTTCATAAGTATCTCCCTTCTTGGGTTAAAATTACAGAGATATATCCTCTCTCTTGATGGACCGGTGGTCACTGCAGCAGGATTCAAGGATGAACTAGCCATTGTTACACACGCGTCTCCTTCTCTCCCATCAAATGAGCAGGTTCAATAAGTCTATCTATCTTCCATCTTATAATGTTCGTAGTAGATTGATTAATGGACCCCATTCTAAAAGCGATTTTCTTCTGAGCAGGTTCTTGAATTTATGGTTTTCAATATTCACAATTGCACACAACCTCTACGAGGACGACTCCCTTTGACTCCCGGCTCCTGTTTAACATGGTTTGGGTTTAGTGAGGAAGGCCACCTAAGCTCTTTCGATTCAAAGGTGCATATACCAGTCTACCTCGGATTGTTCTCCCTCCATCCCAAAATAAATTTTACATTCAGTATTTACATTCGTTTGTTGAAATAAAATAGTCATGTAATCGCTTGTGTTATAGACCTTTTGATAAAGCTCTTAAATACTCCATATATTACTTGTATTTTTTAATCATGCACTAATATTTTTGATAAATTGAATTGTAAATAACTTCAACCAAACATTGTATACTGTTTTGCCAACTTTATTAAGAGACGAAGGGAGTATATTGGAGGAAGGCTTAAGTTTTAAATCTTTATTTTGTTCATGGAAAAACATGTAGGGTGTGCTGAGGGTCTTTACGCATCAGTTTGGTGGTAATTGGCTTCCTCTCTTCAGGTACTACAAACATTCTAAAAGATATGGCCAATTTGTACAAATTAGCAAAATCAATTTTCCTTAAAGGAGGAACTGTTTTTTAATATGAAAATTTTAAGTATTCAGTGCCAGCAGAATGAAGAAGCCAGAAGAGAAGTACTGGGTTGTTGGGTTGAATGCAAGCAAGTTATTTTGTGTTGTATGCAAGGCACCTGATTCTTTCCCACAGGTAAGGTGTCTCATTTTCATCCATTTTGCTTTGGATTTGATGCTTGCTTGTATAAATTTTATTTTTTGACTGATTCTCCAGGTTACTCCTAAACCAGTCCTCACTCTATTTGATCTTTCCCTTCCTCTTGCATCCTCTGATCTTGGAGCAGATAATCTGGAGAATGAATTCATATTAAATAATATGCATCTATCCCGGGTAAATCTTTAATAACCTCTTTTGTATTCTATGCTTCAAGTCTTTTATAGAGAGTTGAGTAGTGCCTGTTACTGTTGGAGTTTCAAAGTAAAATAGCTCCTTCTGAATGCTATATCAGGTTCAGAAAGCAATTGAGGAAATGCTATCCAATGGCCAGGACACCACCTTGCTTGATGATGAGGCATTCAACCTCGAAACTGCTATTGATCGGTGCATTTTGAGGCTCATTGCATCCTGTTGCAATGGTAATTTTGTTTTTAAAGATACAGCCTTTCATATAATCATGTTTTCACATCTTGAGGGGCTGATAAGTATAATCTGGACATCCGTCTTTCTGGTTTCTTCCTCAAAGGTGACAAGCTGGTGAGAGCAACTGAACTTGTTAAACTTCTTTCAATGGAAAAATCAGTGAAGGGTGCGATAAAGCTTGTGACGGCCTTGAAGCTACCAAGCTTGGCGGAACGCTTCAGTTCCATATTGGAGGTAACCAAACCATTCACGACTCGTGACATGAAAAAGAATAGATAAACCAAGCAAGTCACTTAGCTTTTGTTTTGCTTGAGGATGAAATAGGGAAGATAGAAATGTGCCAGAAGTAGATGGAGAAGAGAAGATAGAAATGTGCCAGAAATATATGGTCCATTTTGTGTGTTTCTGGAATGATAGAAACTGAGAAGAAATGGGTCGATATTGGGAGATTCATTTATCTCCTATTTCTCTCATTAAGAGATGAAAAGAAAGTGGGAAATGCCATTTTCATTTTTCCTCACCAAACATGAGAAATTCTCCATCTATATTTCTCTCTTCTATTTCATCCAAACGACTCAACCAAACAAAAGCTCAAATATCAATTTTTATAATCTTGGTTTATCTCATGTCAGTGTAAAAAACTCTAGAAGCTTAGACACATGTTTAGTTGTGACGCAACATCTAGTTGGTGATTAATAAGGATTAAGTGAGATTTAAGCAGAAGCAGACAAGGATTAAAAGAGAAAATATATGTGGCCAAGGATCGCCTGATGTTTATATATGATAGCACTAGGCAAAGGTTTTTACAATAATGGCTCAAGCACATTTTGAGCTCGAAGAATATGTGGCTTGATTCAAATCCACTCAATACGATCTTTGCACTTAGTGATCCTCATCTATAGTGCATTGAAACTCTTAAAAGCTGTTTTTCTATTCTCATATCAGATCCTTATGAGTGGCATACCATTTAAAGGTAATGTGTCTAAACTCAAAACCTGAACCCTAATAAGAATACGAAACTGAAATCCAACTACAAGCTAGGATAACTATGGGTTATGGTTTTGAATAACTCGTGCAGAGTAAAGTTTTAGAATAAAGCTAGGGGTATACCATTTGTACACTAAGTGTTTGTGTTTGCCTGGGGTACAAATTTTTATCATCAATCAATGCCCTTGCAGGAGCATTTAAGCAAAGAAGCAATGGAGAACACTGCTCCTGCGCAGCCAAACTCGAACTCTCCCACATGCGAAAATGATGCGTCCAAGGCTTCTCACACTACACCAGAAAGCAGCACTAAAGCAATGCATATCTCATCCACCCCTTCCTCAACAAAGAAGATCTCGCCGGACCCAGATTTCAACCCAAAAATTGAACAAGCCCGAGCAACTCCATCGGGAAAGCCAGGAGAAGACAAATTCGTTGGCACTCCAGGAGAAGTGAAGAACAAGAATGTAAATGGTGTGGAAAAGACGGAAAAGCCAAAATTCCTTGGAGACTTTAAGGCTGGCCAAGATGTAGGAGAGCAAAAAGCGGTTCGCCCTTCTAACCCGTTTTTAAAGCCATCAACCAAGCAAGAAACTACATCTTTGCTTGACTCACTCAAGAAGATGAGTGGTGAGAAGAGAAGATAAATAAAGTGTTTTTAAAAAACACTTCACCTAAGAGCTTTTTTTTTCTGTCACTAGTTGTAACAAAATCAATTATGTAAATATGCTTTAGGTAAATCCGTTATGTATTTTGTTAAGTTTTAAGTAGGATCAGGAGAAGAAAAGTTTGCTACACAAAACAACTGATTCCTTGCTCATGACAAGTGTAACAAAATTGTTGGTTCCACAGTAATGTGAAATCATAACCTAAGACCATCCTCTAACACTTGCTCTAAATTTAAAGGAGCATGCATTTACCTCAAAATTTATACTCTATTTGTACACCAAAAGTATACACCAATATTTTGATGATTCACACTGACACAAAATGTTGGTGCGTTAACAAAAATTTACATTGGTGTATTAACAAAAATTAGCATTACACCAACATAAAATGTTGGTGCATCTTTGTGGTATACAAAATGAGGTACAAATTCATGGGGTACAAATAACATTATCCAAATTTAAATCCAAAATGTAGTAAATGTCAAATTAAACATTAATTCATCTTTAATTCATTATACAAGATTTAAACTCAAAAGAATATCCTTATGCTCTCCCTATCTTGGAATCATCTTCTTGATTGATTTTCTTGGTTAAAACTTTCTAATTTTGACCATAAAGTATAGAAAAATATATTGAGTTATGATTTAAATTTAAAAAGGCGTCTAAAATGACATTGGTTATTTATTTCCTCCGTTTCAGTGTATTTGTCTAGTTTGACTTTTTCAAGTCAAACCGCACAAACTTTGAACTTCAATTAAATAAAAATCGTAATGTATTTTAACATAAAAATGACTTTATTTGATTTATCTTATTGAAAACTTTAAAAATTGTATTTCATTATGCTAATATGCAATATAAATTAAGAGTAATTGGAATTCAAAGTTTGTCCAGTTTGACTCGAAAAAGTCAAACTGGAGAAATACACTGGGATGGAGGTAGTATACATCAATTGCTTAGACCAGTTTGGAGCATATACGGTGCCGAAAATGTAAAAATGATGGTTCTTACTCCTTAAACCCTCACCTCTAACCCACCCCTGCCCCTTCCCTACTGAAACTAGGTGTTTAAACAATATACTCCATCCGTCCCATTTTATAATGCCTGTTTCGGTTTACGATGTTTGACTGAAATTATTTTCAAACCATTTTATATGACAAATGGTATAGAATTAAAAAATAAAAATTACATATTACTCCGTAAAAAATTACATCAAAAGATATACAAAACTAGTAGTGACAATAATATTTTATTTTATCAAATTGTTAATGAAAATAGAGAAAGAAAGTGAATGAAGTTTGACCCTAAGAATAGTAAACAGACATTATAATTTGGGACGGAAGGAGTAATACGGAGTAGAATGATTTGTTTTGGACTATAGAAAGAAGAAAGACAGTTGAATGGTCCAAACTTATTTGAGATACAGGAAGTGCATCTTTTACCTCCATATATAAGTAGTTTGAAAAAATATTTCCTTCATCCATAAATTTATTTCCCGGTTTGTATTTTTTAGAAAATATTTTGAACTTTGATAATAAATTATGAAAATATATATTAAATTATCATATAAATTTAATATAAATTAATTATTTTAAAATGTAATTTTGAAATATTATGATTTTTATAATATATATTTTATGAATATAGATATAAATAGATAAAATACTTCATTGGAAAGTTACATAGAAATGTTTCTTTATTAACATTTATTTTACACACTAATAGGAAACAAATATTATATCTAATTACCTTTTTCATTTTATTGTTTTCTTATTTTATTATTATCATAGTTCTCCTATTATGATTAGAACTCTCTATTATAATATCATATATATAGGGATGTATCCTTCATAATTCAATAAGGCCAATTAGAATTTATTGCACCAATAACACCCCCTGTAGTTTGAGAAATATGCACCGTTATCCCTTATGGTTTTAAAACTTACGTCGTTGCTTCTAATGATTCTGAAATTGCGACGCTATTGCCCCTCTGAACAAAAATATTTTTTTAAATATTAGGTGAATAACTTTGCTACCCCTATGGTTTTGGTAATGGGTGCCAACCCCCCTTTACTTTTTCTTTATTGTTTTTTCTTTTTTCTTTTATATTTTCATAAATAGAAGAAAGATGTTTGTGTGTAAAATAATGAAAAATTATTTTTTCAAACCTAGATTTTCTTTTTAAAAAAATTTAAAAAATTAAAAAATATTTTTGTTTGAAATAAAAAATCTAACATATACTTCATTTGTCAAATTTAATATTTTCATTTTTTGTCTAAAAAAGTTTTTATGTTTTTGAATATGTCGCGACCGAATGAATACTGAGTTACGTTTTTTTAATGTATAGTTAATTATATATAATAACATTTTTTGGACCAATGCGCAAAAGATTTCCTTCATAACTTAATTTTCTCTATTCTTTAAAAGTATTTTTTTCATATACTTTTCTTTTACTTTATTTTCTTTTTTGCTCTTTTTTTTATATTAATTTTGATTAAAATAAAAAAATGGTATATAATTAATGAACAAAAAATGATATTTAATAAATAGATTTACTAAATTGATTGTCCAATTAATATGGAGTAATACTTATATTCCAAACATTTCATACGTCTCATCCCAATTTGACCCACTTTTGAAAAATTTCACAAAACATTTAAAAAGTATGTAGAATGTGGTGTTCGAGATTAAGAATAGTCGAACCAATTGAATGCTTATGTTACGAGCCGTTCGTGTCTACTTTGTTCTGGCTTGGACAAGAGAAAGCGATTCTATGGAAGTGATCTTTCATGATGAACATGTATTGTATTCACAATTTTTTAATATTTGATTATATGTTATTATTATAATTTAGTTATAATTTAATTTTATCATTTTCTTTTATCATTGTTTTTCCTAATTATATACTGAGCAGTTTATAATTAGGTCGTGGCACTCACGCATACGAGTTTAGTCTCTACAAATACATGGTTTATTATCTCATTAGTCCGTACACATACGTACGATTGTTGCATTGAGACAGCACTGCCTGAAAGCCCGGAACCACCAAACACCTGGAAACGTCAGTCAGTTTTCTCGAAGAAAGGAAGAAAAAAAGCCATTACCTAATCTTTCCTTCTCCTCCGCCTGCCTTCTCTCCGCCATGGCCGACGTTTCGATTTCACTCATTCAGCTCCTCAACGACGACGACGACGAAGACTTCCGGCAACACGACGTCGTCGACGAAACCAATTCCTTCCCCTGCTGGTTTCGCGATTTCGACGATTCCTTCGACGCCTTCGCCTCCGCAGATCTGTCCGATCTCCAATCCAGGCGGCGGGGAAGGGCGGAGCAGTCGTCGGACGGCGATGCCTTCGATGGGGATTGCATCGACTTCTTCGATCGCGATAACCAGGTCAATTTCGTCATGGACCTCTTCCACCAACGCGTCGAGCAGTCTCAATCGCCGTTGCAGGTAATTATGGACCCTAATCTGGCGGATCCCGACCCGGGATTCGTGAATGAGGAACCCGGATCCGCTCAATTGGAGATGGATCTAGAACGAGGGTTAGGTCTTCGTGGGGAAGGAAACCCCCAAAGTTGTGAGAATTCTTCATTCCTCTTGGAAAATTGCGACGATGAGCCTCACTATGTGACAGGACTGAGGGTCATTGACATGGAATCCGATTCCGATTCCGACAAAAACTCAATTTTAGGGCTGAATTTCAATGCAGAAGACATTGATGATGATGTTATCTGTGGTCCCAACATGTATGAGAATGAGAGTGATGATCCAAGCTTACGCCTTTGTTGGGAATCTTTTCAATTGGAGGATCACAGGGAGGCAGTGAATGAGGATTTCGAATGGGAAGAAATCGATGGTCGAATCGAGGAGCAGGAGATTCTGAGCTTTTTCCTTGAGAATGATGGAATCTCAGTACCTGCACAAGAGGAGAGAAATGTAATGGGGAATCTGGAATGGGAGGTTCTCTTGAATGATCATAATCTGGTCTTGAATCCCGAATTGAGAAACCAAGATTTCGACCTGGGTGATGAAGATCAGGATGAGTACAATTACACTGCAGAGTATGAGACGATGTTCACCCAATTTGCAGACGCAGAAAATGCTTTAATCACCAGGCCACCTGCCTCTAAAAGTGTTGTGAAGAACCTCCCCGAAGTGATCTTGAGCAAAGAAAATGACCCAGAGAAGAACGATGCTGCCTGTGCTATCTGTAAAGATGAAATGGTCATCGGAGAAACAGTGAAGATTTTGCCTTGCTCGCATAAATATCACCAAAATTGCATCTTTCCGTGGCTTGGGATTACCAATACTTGCCCTGTCTGCCGATATGAGTTGCCAACCGATGACCCTGAATATGAAAGGAAGAGGAGGGCACAATCACAGAGTTGATCACAAGTCCCATTGAAGATGATATATACTATCTTCAGGAGCTCTTTATGGCCTTTGGTAAAAAAAAGAAAAAATGCCAAACACTTTGCAAGATAAACAGCTATAACCTGCTTGCTGATGAGGCTGTAGTTTAGGGTATTGATATATGCTATGACAATTTGTATTATGTGTGGTGATACTAATACTTTGCCATCTGCAATAATGCTAATCTTATATTTTCTTTTGTGTGTGTGTGTGTGTGTGTGGGCTTGTTTGTAATTTGTGAGGTGAGTTTCAGCTTATCTAGTGGTAATCTTAGGATGTATTGGATTGAGATTAAGAAATTTGAAGAGAATGTGATTGAGGTTTAGACAGAATTTTTTGGGGTCAAGTTTATATTTTTTAAAGCAAAGTATTCTGGAATAAAAAGGTCTCAGTGCGACGGATGAAGTATAAAAATGTGGTTCCAAAGTGGGACTTGATAAGTTTATCTGATTTGATTTGGTTTAGAATTATCCTTGGGAATCCAAGTTTGACCTCATCTTTGACAAATTTTCTTACAAACTTTTACACAACAATGACGAATGTTTGTGAATATATGAGAGGTGGTGTCAAATTTGGGATATACTTAGCATTCTTGAGTTTTTTGGGAAAGGTTAGTCGTTGAGTATTTTAGGTAATACTAGGAGAACCCCATTAGTGTAGTTTATTTTCTGAGCAATGTAACGGAAACTCCATTTATGACACCATTTTTAACACCAAAAACACTTATTGATACTTATACACGAATAATAATTGTTTCCGTTTGTATTTGGAATAAAAATTAAAAAAAATTCGCAAGTGGAATTTCCAAACAAGTGTTTGACTCTATTGGTATACTTGTGTTTGCCCTTGGTGTGTAAAGTGATGTGCAGCTTGGGATACCATAAACTTTATTGTATCATCCAAAGCTAATGACATTGTCATTTTTGTTAATGACACATTCAAAATCACTGTACACACACTTGAATAAATTTTGATTTCATAGCGGCTTTTACAAAAATGGAAGTTGAATTTGGACAATGTTATAATCAGACACTTTATTCAAACTGTTCGAACTGATAACTCATATAACTCACCCAAAACAAGGCCATTTTAAACCCATTTTTCATTTCTCCATTTTGAACACATTAGTTACAAAACTATCTTCAAGTTTTTACTCGGAATATTCCCAAATAACTCATCTCTTTTTAAGTCATACTGCAAAAAATATTTCAATAACCTACTTCTTTTTGTAATTTGACTAAGTTTGTTGTTGTTTAATATATGGGCATGCATTTATAAGGTGTAAAATGTAAATCATCCTAAGCATGGTAAAAGTCTTGTTTACAGCTGTAATACAACAGGATAAATAGCTTCAGGCTTTAAAGCTACTGAGCATTACCTAAACAGTTTGCCAACTTTCAAAACTTGTTTCAAGAATAAAGGTGTGCCTTCCCCTTTGGATAGTTTTGACCAAACAAACCATCAGGTTGCATCTTCAGTCAAAGGGTAAAAGAAACCAAAGATTAGTTCCCATTCATGGAAGGCTGGTGGGTCCCATTAGCACTGCATGCTGGAGTTGACGCGCTGCTCTCGTCCTGAAAATTAGCCGGATCTGCGTATGACAGGTACCCAGGAAACCTGCGCAGCCGGACACGTATTTGATGAGAAATAAGTAACCTCCTAAGCAGAGAAGGGAGAAAAAATAAGTTGTAGTACCTGCTCACTTTGATTGGCTCTCTATCTATGGTCATTTTAACATCAAAAATATTTCCTGCAGCAACCAATGGTTAACTGAACTCGATCATGAATCACGAGGAGAAGTTTCAGAGTATTCCATAAAGAACAATGTTCAAAAATTAAGAATGAATCGAAGGAATGATTGGGCCTAAATTATAGACACCCTTATAGCATAATGCCAAACAAATGTACCCTATATGGCTATATCATTTCATGTTTATCAAGTAAAACGTTTGAAAGGTCTAGTACTATAATATTTATGTAAAAAGTAAGGCCAAATATTGTGTAAATTGAGCTTTTAATGTTGAAAATAAGCAAAAAGAGTTTATCTCAATAAAAAGTTCTTTTGGACAATAGAATAGTCTAACCAAACACAGTCAAAGAGAGGGACTCCACATATAACAAACCACATATCAAGTAGCTCACATGCCATTCAGAAATACGGAGTAAAAAAATACCTATATACAACTCCATCCACATGGAATGGAAATTTCAACTCATGAAAGCTGAAGAATACCAAAACAGTACATCACATGGTTTTTAGTGTCAACGTAAACTAACACCGTAAAATATCAATGAAAGTAAATAATAGAAGAGAGGTAAAAATGCAGAATGAACAAATGCAAGGAAGGTAAAACACACAATAAATATGTTCTTGGAATTGGGTATTATATATTTTACCTCCAAAGATAGTTTTGTCTGAAAAGTACTTGGACATTAAATATTGGGTGCATTCAGATTTATATTTCTTGAACTTCACATTTTGTGCCTCTTCTAAGAGCCTGAAATAATATAGCAAGGAAATTGCATGCTTTAGATGGTCTGCAATAATATTCCCCAGGGCGGAATCTTATAAACAGTAATTTGACCAATGGGTGTTAAGGAAAAAAAGAAAGATAGAACACAAGAAGAATATCGTACAACGGATAACTTTATTTCCAGCAATGGAGAAATAGATCTTAGTCTAAATGGATAAATGGAGAAAACAACAGCTTGTTTACGGTAAAATGGAATAAAGTAATCTTATGTAAAAAAAATCAAAGAAAAAACAACTTATATAAAAGGCTCTAATTTTCTGTGGCAGTCAAGAGATTGTTTGTAACCCAGAGCGATACAAAGGCTATCTTTGGTCTTATTCAGTCATTCACTTGGATTGAGAGATTGAGCAGCATGTTTATAAGTGCATATAAGATATACCCTATTTCAAAATTAATGTCCACATCAGCGTTTATTGCATTACATTTTGTAGCTTTTTCCTCTTTAGGCATAGGTTTGCAGAGAGTAGATGGGTTGGATCCCAGGTGTCAGATACAAAAAGAACCCATTCTATCACTAGTCTAAACCTTGAATCCATATAATTTTCCATCTCATGAGGATACTTCAACATTTCAACCATTCAGCGCAATATGTGTCTATGAATCCACCCAACAACTGCAAAGTCACAAACGGATGATGTGGTCCATTTAACACAAAGGAATCTGATATGAAATATTTCTCCAAGATCTCATATGAATATTTCTCCCATCTACACAAAGGGGGAATGTGGTCCATTTAACTGCACTTTCCTTTTCAGAGACAACTGCTTCATAGCTACTACTAAATAGTTTTGTCTAATCAAATGTGAAATCTCTTTTCGGGACAGAAGGAATATACAGAAGAAAATTGAGTAAGACGCAAATTGATTACATACGAAATGTTTTTGCCCGGAGAGGTATGAGGCAGTCCAATCACGGGCATTTTCCTTTCAGAAAATAACTCCATCACAGCTATTCATAACAGTGGGTTCTAGCCACAATGCCACTTGACCAAAAACTACAGTGCAACTTTGAGAAGAAAAAAGATCTTCCCTTTTTTGGAAAACCACCAGTCCACAACAAGTGTATCCCTTTTGCTTTTTGTCCGAATCTGTTGTCTTTAAAACTGAATCTGCTTTGTGTCCATTGGCAATTGAGCTAAAAGAATCATTATTGACAATGTTTGAGCTTTGGGCACGTAATGCACTATATGAAAATGGCAAAACATCAAGGTCTAACAAAAAGAACCTCTGGGTTTTAATACAGCGATAAGGTTGTGTACATCTTGACCCTCACACCCCAAGTCCCAGCAAAGTTGAGATTTTACTGGGCTAATTGTTGTTTTTTTCTAAAGTCCAAACTGAATCCGCTTGCCTTTTCATCCATTTATTTTTCACATTTATAAGTAGAACTAAAACTGAAAATGGCAGAGTGCACAAAAAATATTGATTCTTGTCCTTGTAAAAGCAAACAGATTAGAACAAAAAAATAGGGTAAAATTATGATAAAAGAAACTTTAAAAAAATTAACCAGAGTGGACAAAAATCATAATTATAGATCACAATCCAAACACTACCAAGACCATGAGAGTATAAAACCGAAATGCAAATAATAAGAATAATCAACATTTCATTTCTCACTCAATCGAGCTTCTTTTCAGCTGCTTCTCTTCAGACTCTTTCTTCTCCTTGTTCTTCTCCTCAACCGCTCCCTTCGCATCAACGCTCATAGCCTCCTATACGCACAAAAACCATATCAAGACACTCAACAAAACATCAAATACGAATACACACAGATGAATCGATCCCGGGAACCTGTTCTTGTTTAGGAAGCATATTGGGCGGCGCTGGAGCGACGGAGATGGAAGATGACTCCATGGAAGGCGACTACAGAGCAACAGAGAGAGTGGGCTGTATAGCGACTGGCGTGAACATTCGAGGGTGGGAGATCACAAAATCTGAAATTGAGTTTGAATTCATCTTCCTTTCGGAAAGCTCTGTGCTTTGAATAAGATCCAAATCATAAATTGAATTCGGAGTCAAAAAGATTGATAACCTTTTGGAGGATGAGGAGAAATCGAATAGAAGAGGAAGGAACACTGGCGGTCAGTTTTATTAAACCAGAACAGGACTGGACGGCCAAACGGATCCAACATATTTTTAAATGATTTTATATGAAAAATGTTATGAAATTAAAAAATTAAAAATGATATATTTAAGAACTAAATAAAAGATCTACAAAACTAAAGGTGACATGACTATATTATTTTATCAAATAGGAAACAAAATTAGGCAATCAAAATGAATAAAGTTTGACCCTATGAATAGTGAACGAAAATGAATAAAGTTTGGTACCCGTACCCATTTTAAGGGAATCAGAACCGTGTAGGAACGATTCCCGACAGTTCTATTTTCATAGCGATTTTGATCTCAATTCTAGTTGTGAAATGATTCTGAACATTTTTTTAATAAAACTTTTGGTAAAATAATTATATAATTGACTCCAAACTTTTTCTTCATAGTAAATATTATGAATCAACCTCAAACAAATTAAAAATAAGCATAAAAAATAGACATACAAAAAAAACTGAACTAATTCTGATTCTGTAGCAATTCTAGTTCCGGTTCAGATGCCAAAAACTTAATAGTCGGAACCAAAACCTTTTCTTATAGTTACGGTACTCTAACGGTTCTATTCCCATTTATATTTTAGTATCGGTCTTGAACCAGAACCGTGACCAACCCTAGGGCAAATTCATTAAAACTCTAGTTTAAAGAAAGAATTTTAGAGAGAATATTTTATACTTGAATATGATAGAATGAGAACATATCTCTCTACTCATGCTTATTGACTTATTACTAATAAGTACTCCCTCTTTCCTATAATGTTCTTCCCACTCACTTTTTATACGGTCAAATTTTTATCACTTTCTTTACCTATTTTCATTAGGTATTTGATAAAATAATATAATCTTGTCACCACTTGTTTTGTAGAACTTTTGATGTAGTTTTTAAATATATAAATTTTATTTTTTAATTTTACACCTACAATCAAATAAATTGAATTGAAAATAAAGTCGGTCAAACTTCGTAAAATGAACCGGGAAGAACATTATAGGACGGATGGAGTAATAAGCTGTTTATAAATCAAATATATAATATTTCTAAATAGCGAGAGACAAAAAACTAGCTTAAAAATAAATAGATAAGAATTACTAATTTTTTTGGCTTATAAGTGAGCTTATAAGCACATAAAAACATGTCATCAACTGACTTATAAGTTATAGACTTAGGCTACGTTTTGTTCACCTTATCTGATCTGATCTTATTTTTGGAAGTTCTGTTCTGGTCTGATTTGATCTGGTCTGATATAAATTTGATTTAAATTAAAACTAAATTTATTATTATAATAGTTATAGAAATATTAATAATAGTAATAATAATAGAAATAATAATTATAGTAGTAATAGTAATAATAATAACATTAATAAAAATAGTAATAATAATGGAAATAATATCAATAATCGTAATAATAATAATAATAGAAATATTAGTAATACTAATAGTAATAGTAACAATAATAATCATCATAATAGTAATAGTAATCATAATCATAATAGTAATAATAATAGTATTAATAGTAATAGTAATAATAATAATAATAGTAATAATTACAATAACAATAGTTATAATAATATTATTATTAAGAGTAATAATAATGGTAATAATAATAATAACTGAAATATTAATAATGATAGAAATAATAATAATAATAATAATAGTAATAATAACAATAGTAATAATAGTTAAAACCATTATAATAATAGTAATACTCCCTCCGTCCTAAAATCATCTTCCCATTTCCCTTTTTTTCCCGTCCTAAAAATATCTTCCCAAACCCAAAAAAGGGCAGTGTAAAGACAAAAAAACCCCCTCTCATTTACGCCACAACTGTCCTTCCCTATTTACATTTACACCTCTACACTGCTTATCTCTTCTTCTTCGCTCTTCACTCTTCGCCTCCTCTATCTAAACCCTAGATCTATCTATCTCTCTCTCTCTGTCTCTCTTTCTCCGCCTCTCTAAATTCATCGCCCTCTCTCCATCTTAACATCACTCTTCCGATCCCTTATACCCTACTCCGCCTACAAATGGATTCCGTGGATTTGAGATCCAAATCCTAGATTCATGAAATATGTGAGCGAAAATCAATTTCAAGGATTGAAAGAGGAAGACAAGAAGGGAAAAAAGGAGGTTTCAGAGTTTGAGGACGGAGAGAGTAAGATGGATGATGACGGATCTGAATCTGATTCTCTCCCGTATCCAGGCATAGTCATCGCTGATAGTGAATATGAGGAAAGCTCGTTGGAGGACGAGCCCATGCGAGGATTTGGGAGCGAATCGGATGAAGAGCAGGAGGATGGGGCAGGGCAGAGACCGGGTGCCTAGTTTTGACATGGGCAGCCACTCTGATTTTGACCATGGGGTTGGCGTGGTCTAACAAATTCCAAGGCTCCTCTCCTACAAGGAATACAAAGTGAAGTGTCGTTTTCTTTACTCTCTCAATTTATAAGTCCCTGCAAGGAACCTCTCCTATAAGGAATACAATGCTTCTGTCTAGGAAAGATGGCCATTTTCATGGATTGCAGGTATAACTTGGTTCACTAACATATCTTTTGTCACCTCTTTGGTAACACTGAGCAATTGTTTCATTTCCAAAACCCCAGCCTCTCTATTCTTACTCTTTCTTTTAGCTGCCACAGTCTCAACAAAAGGAAATATTCCAATTTTTTCATCCCACATTACTTCTCCATTGTCTGAGAATAATGGTCTACCAACAACACATAAGAACATGACCTTGGTGATGAATCTCTTTGACTTACATGTTCTGTAAGGATCCATTTCAGACTTGGTCAAATAATATTTCTGTGATGTTTTGGACATAAAAAACCATTTTTCATCCATGTGGAGAACATTATGAAAAATTCTAAACTTGGGATTACAAGGGATGCTTGTGGGTTCTAACTGATTCAAACAAAACTGCAATCTTTGCAGCTTGTTTCCATCTGTTAGAAGAGGTTTAATTGCATTTGAATGACTTCTTAGAGGAATGTTTGGGATAGATTCTACATCTATGACCACTCTTTTCCTACCAGTATTCCCATAGACCTTACTTTTGACATCAATGGCAACTCCCTCCTTTAACTGTTTTCTAGCTTTGCTCCATATGTCTCCAACGCTTCTTCTGGAAACATTGAATTCATCAGCAACCTTGCTGATAATTCCTTTCTGAGCTGTGTACTCACCTGAATTTTTTTTTGGCATATGGTAGGATTTCTTCTACAATTCTTTGCCGTTGAGAGTTTGATAACCTGGTCGTGCATGATCTTTGTTCTCTTCGCAGGTCCTCATCTCTGCCTGGGCGAAGGACAGCAGCAGCAGCAGGGAGGGTGACACCAGTAGCAGCAGAGACGGTGGCAGAAGCAGCAGACGCAGGAGGAGGTTCAGGACTAGGACTAGGAGCAGACATTAAAAAGGAAAAGGAGTGGGCTAGGGATTCCCTTCCTAAAAGTGGAAAGTATGCTCCTATTTATAGAATAGGCTTTGGTGGGACTTTTTGTTTGGGAAGGAAATTTTTAGAACTTTCCCTCCTTAATGTATTTGGTTGAACATAAAATTTGTAAAAGTGGATGCCTTTGGTTTTTGGGCTTAATGTACCATGGATTGCTTCCTTTTGAAATGTTTGAGTGTGTTTTTTTCTTTTATTCAATGCATTTTTCTTTTACCTTTTTTTAGAATGCCTTAAAAAAATTCCTTAAATTTTTTCTAAGAGGCAAAATGGGAAGTCAGAGGTTAAAATATAAACTCCTTAAAAATGGGAAAAAGTCAATGTGGGAAGGTTGATTTAGGACGGAGGGAGTAGTAATAATAACAACAATAATAATAGTAATAGTAACAATAATAATATTAATGGCAATAACAACAATAGAAATAATAATAATAACAATGGTAATAATATTTATAATCAAAATAATACTAGTATTAATATTACCAATGGTAATAATAATAATAATAATAATAATAATAATAATAATAATAATAATAATAATAATAATAATAATAATAATAATAATAATAATTTTGTTTAGATTTGATTTGATTGGACCATTTGATCTGATATGATTAGATCATATCTGATCTAATCTAATTGGATCTAATCTGATTAGATTTGATCTGATCCGATTTGATTAGGATTTTATTACATTTTTTAGATTTGAAAAAGTTAAGGGTTGTTTGTTTCAGCCTCTTAATGGTTCAGATGTCTGAATGGTTCAGCACTTAATGGTTCAGACTGTTTGTTTCAACCTCTTAATGGTTCAGATGTCTGAATGATTAAGAGATTTGCCTCTGAATGGTTAAGTATTATACAGAGTCTGAATAGTTAAGACCTCTTATCTGAATTGATCAGACATTTGCCTATGAATAGTTAAGCAATATACTAGCTCTTAATGGTTCAAATCTCTTACTGGTTCAATACTTAATGGTTTAGACCTCTTACTGGTTCAGCACTTACTTATTTAGAAGTTGCCAAACAGCCCCTTAGTGGATTTGAAAATTTTGTAAAATCCATGTAGAGTTTGATTGATTTTTTGTAGAATTCATGTAGATTTTGAAATATTTGTAGAATCCATGTAGAATTTAAAAAATTAGTACAATCCATGAAGAATCTATAAAAAAAATTTATGGTCTTTGTGTCTATTCCATGCCGGCCCTCATACTCACCACAAAGCAACCACGAAGCAGTGAGTCCCCAAAGTCAGCAAATTCTGGGTGATGAAGATGTTCGATCTTCCTCCATTCGCAAATTCTGCGTCACTTCCATAAGAACAAGAGACACTTTGCAATGTGATTTCCAATTTCCCCTCTCTTTGTTGCAGTCTCTGGAGCTATGGAACATGAGGGAGAAACACAGAGGGGGCATTTCCGTATTTTGCATTTTGTTCTTTGACCCACTTGTTGTATCTTCACCCCAAATTATTTGAGCTCTTCTGTACTGAGTCCAAAACAGAATTCTGATTTCATCTGTGATATTTTGAAGAATTTGTAGTATTGGCAGATATAACTGAGTGATGAAGAAGATGTTCGATCTGCGTCACTTGCTGCCACTCCTCCTCCTGCAGCTCCGCCTCCGGACACCATCAGCTCCGCCGCCGTCACCGTCAGCAGCGACCTTGAGATGTGGTGCCCACGAAAGAGAGGAGAGGAGAGGATTTGGGATTCTTAAAATCTTTCGTTGGGAGCAAGGATTTGTTTATAGACTTTTTATTATACTCCCCCGTCCGAAAATGTTCTTCCCATTTAACTTTTTACGGTCTCCAAAATTATACTTTGAGTACTAATATTTTTATTTATATATGAATATGTTTTATAAAAATTTGATATTTAAAAACTATATTTCAAAATGAATATATTCATATTAAAGTTATATCGTAATACAATGTATTTTTTCCACATATCATAGTCAAAGTTTACAAATTCTGACCAAGAAAAATCAAATGAGAAGAATATTTCCAAACGGAGAGAGTAATTTCTACCTTCAAATCCATTAAAATCCATGTAGAATACAAATCTTTAAAAATTCATGAAGTGTTGAATATCTTAAGATTTAGATAGAATTTTTAAAATCCAAATTCAATACATTCAGATTTCAAATGACTTTATAAAATCTGAATTCAATACACTTAGATTTTAAATGACTTTTAAAAATCTGAATTGAATACCCATAAAATTTTACAATCCAAAAAAATCTTTTAAACTCTAAGTACAATACACCCCCTAAGTAATAAGGAGAAAAATAAGTTGAACAGAACGCTACCTTAGCTTTGACTAGCTTATAAATATAGAGAAATACCATACCCAAAGGAACACAAAGAAAGAAAAACAACTCAAAAATAGTCGAAAAAATATATTCTGTAACATGAGGATAAATCTATTATAGATTGATAAATGTAACATGATAAGAAAGTACTGGATAATAAAGATTCGAAATATATCTGAAATCAAAATATATTTGAACCGAATATATTTGATATTGAAATAAATTTGAACTGAAATACACACAAAACAAAATCTAAATTGATTCAAAACCGAACCGAAATGATTATAGCATGTAATTACAAGTAAAAGATATCCGAATCAAATAAATCTCAACCACAACCGATATGGTTGCTCTAATTGCGAGATCTATCCATCATGTTTAAATGAGGACATCACACATGATATTTATAATAATTTATTAAGTCATGCAAAAATACTAATAGAATTTATTGGAAATGTTAATTCATCCATCCTTTAAAAAAATCACAATAGAACCAATATATTTTATATGGTTGAATTACTTGAATATGATGCAGAAAAAAAAAGAACCAACTATAGATCAAAGGAAAAAAGGCTCACACCTATTCTTCAACCAATTAGGTTCCTCTCCCCATAGTCCTCACCCCTCTCTCATCCACCCCCCTCCTTTTCCACTCATCATCATATCCCACTCCTAAAAAAGCACCCATTAGACATGCCCAAGTGGGAAGATATAGCTAAAGTTATCATTAGCCCGGGTAAAAAAAAAGAGGCACTTCAACAAGGGATTGAGATGGAATGTGTAAAATTAACCTTTCATAAAGAGCTGAGGCAGTCTTTTATCAACCTCAACAAGGGAACTCCATGAGCAGCTCCTTCCATTTTCTCAAGCATGATTCCATCAACGCGGGCTTGGATTCCGTCTGAAAAAGCCATTTCACTGAGCAATTCTTTTAAGCTTCGGTCCACTCCGACTAAACTGTTTCCCGTACTACTCAATATTTCTGGCAAAGATGGAGAAGGCCTTGACATCTCCACAACATCAACCTTGACTCACATAACCAAACAAACAAACAAACAAAAAACATCATGATTTTTGTTTTTTTAAATAATAGTCTTGGTTAAGCTAAAGTTAGTGTTTGGTAGAATATCCTAATGTTTAGTAAAATATTGGACTGATAATGTTGATACCAAGACAAGAAAGAGGCTACCAAACATGGTCTTAATATGACAAACATGTGAGAGACTCTTACGGTGAGGAAATGATACTTTTTCAATTGACACGCTCAAAAGTACTACTCTGTCCGGCCCTAATTAAACTTTACAGGTACTCCTTCCGTTACGATAGAATACAACTGTTTTAGATAAAACCATCACCCTCATTTGGGACATCTATTTTTATATAAATCATTAATATGTTGGAAACTTTTTTTTCAAATGAGACTTTTTACAAATAAATTTTAGAAGTGTCTCCTTTTCGGGACAAATATGCTTAGAAGTGTGGCTCTTTTTTTGGGATAGAGGGAGCTGTTTTTTACGTACTCCGGAGTAATGAAGTATGAAAATACACATGACCAATATGTGAGAGTATATATTTTTGAAACTATGGTCAAATTTCACTCCTGAAGACCATGACAATTACATATTGAAATTTACTAAGAATTAGATAGAATACAAATGTTTTACAATATTATCGTTTTTCCGTGAGAGTGTTTCACGAGAGGCGTGTTAATATATTGTTCAAGATAAATGTCAAGGTAATACGCTCCATTTCATCTTGCAAGGAGATTATATTGTTCATAACTAGAAATAAACCCATGCTCCATAAAAAATAGTGTATAAAAGGTTGGAGCAAAAGTAGAATCAAGGAAGGACCGACATACCTGTCTTTCCTGAAGTATATTGGCCTTTTGTTTAGCAATTGCGACAGCACGAGAAATACCACCAATTGCATCAACAAGGCCGTGTTTGATGGCATCATTGCCAGTCCAAACCCTCCCTTGTGCCACTGCTTCCATTTCGTCTACCTGCATGTAATGATTATCTTATTGCACAAGGAATTACGGTATTTGAATGGTATCCGTAATCTGTATGCTTCATAAAAAAAACACATACATTCATTGATCTTGAAAATGCGGCCTTATCTCGGAACTGTTTATATGTGTTCTGTGCAGATGTCTGAAATAGTTCTGCTTCATCAGGCCTGTGGAAGAGAATTGGTTGTTACTCATAATGGTCATTACCCAATATGGTCCCCCCAAGTGGAGTCTGGTGGGGGTGCATGTACATAAACCTTACCCCAACCTAAAAAAGGTAGGGAGGCTGTTCCAAATTAACCTGAATAATTGAATACTCCGTATGATGTAATTACAAAGAGAAATTAGTCACATCATATCGAAGTATATAAAAATAAAAATGTTATCATCAAACAAATATAAATGAGTAGAAAAAGACATGAAGAGGGGGAGGGTGCCTGGATGAAAATGGAACAGGGACAACAAGGGAAGCTTCCCTGGGAATATTGACGGTGAAGGGTGGCGCAGGGAGGAACGGAAAAGGTTTTTAAAATGAAAAGGCGTAAACATGTAAGCCAATTTCTTTTTAAAACTGGGCCGGGTAAAAAGGGGGCAGGTCGACTTGGTCATCGATTATGCAATGTGGGATGATTAGTCGACCGACTTACCGCCTAATCGACGATTGGGCAATGACTTATAACTATGGAAGCAACCATTATCGGCCTAGCAATGTCATAAAATGAGTATATTATCATCATCATCATCATAAATAGCATAATTCCATATATGTTGGGATATTTACAGGGTGGTTTTGATTTGCATTTTCAAAATGAGATTTTAAATCAGGTGATATTGAAAAGCACTAGATTCAGGTGCACATCATGGGGTAGGGTAATCTCCAAAATCAGGTGACGTCCAATAATTTATTCTAGTCCATTCATGGGGAATGCAATTTCAAATATCTCATTTTGAAAACCAGAATCACCTCTCATTTTGAACAATATACATACATGTTAGATTTAATCGGGTTTGTTCACATATCACCAAATGGGTAATGAGTCAATGATCGGGTCAGTTAGTATGGTGTCGGTTAGTGCATTTTACATATTTAATTAATTAAAAAACAGTTGGGTAGTTTCTAAAAGCACTTAAGGGTAGTTTCTAATGTTAATAGATGTGTTGGTTTGTAATAGTTGTGTTGGTTAGTAAAAGACGTGTTGGTTTGTTCTCTATTTATATTTAGAAAACACAATGAATCTTGTAAAGTTCACAAAAATAAGTATTCTACTTTGCTTAGACCTGGCCCTCTCTATCAATTGGTATCAGAGCAACAATCCAATCAGGACCAGCGATTAAAGGGAGCAGGTCCAATTTGCAATAAGGGGTGTGCGATTGACAGCTGAAGGGACTGGCCTGATCGTAAAACAGTGCATTAGCAACTTCCAAGACAACAGATCAGAATCTTTGACCAGTTTTCTTCCTCACCTAGAAAAAGAACATCAAGTTGCTAGTTTTTTTCTGGGCAAAAGTATTCCAACCAAAAGGCGCAGGAATAATGAATCAACGGGGTAGCTTTCATTTAGCGGCTTGGAACTTGGAAGACGGAAAAGTAGAGGCTTGTCTTCTGGTTGATGGTCGATTGCACGTGGCTTACGACCCAGGAAGGAATCAAAGTCTACGAATTTTGTGAAAATTGTCAAAGGATTAAAATAGTGCAATGGAAGACAACAGACAGATTGTGACTACAAGGGAGAATAGTTCACTATCTTTTAAGGTTCCAATTCTAACCGCTACAAACTACACTATTTGGGCCGTGAGGATCCGAGCAATTTTTAATGTTAATGGGATTTGGGAGGTGACTGAACCAGGAATATAAATCGACCCAAAGAAGAACAATATGGCAATAGCATATCTGTTTCAAGCTTTTCCGGAAGAGATTGTGTTACAAGTTGCTCAGTTTACCAAAGCGAAAGAAATTTGGGATGCTCTGAAGACTCGCTTTGTTGGTGTTGACAGGGTTAAAGCGGCGCGATTAGGAACACTTGAATCAGATTTTGAGACACTAAAGATGGAAAAAATGAGTCACTTGATGATTTTGCTGGTGAAATTAGTCAACTTGCAACACAAGCAAGCGACCTTGGGTCTGCATTTGAAGACAAAAGATTGGTTCGAAAGCTTTTGGGTTCTGTACCAAAAAAGTTCATACATTGCTACAATTGAACAGTTTGCCGACATTAACACAATGCCATTTCAAGAAGCAATTGGGGGATCGAAAGCATTCAAGGAACGTGTCAAAAAGCTAACCAAGGAAGAAGATATGCAAGGTAAACTACTATTCACTAAAGATGATGGAAAAGAGAAGGTTAAGGAGCACAAATGTGAGCGTTGCGGTTGCGGGAGCTCAAACCGAGAAGACTTTGGACGAGGACGTGGTAGAGGTCAGGGGTCCAGGAAAGGTTAGGATGGTGGTCGGTTTCAGCGGGATAAGAGTCACATTAAGTGTTTCAAGTGCAATGAGCCAAGTCATTTTCTGAACGAGTGTCATAAATGGGATCAAAAGGAACACATTGCAAATTTGATTGAAGATGATGTTGAACCAACGTTGTTGTGAAGATAAGTGTGAACAAACAACGATTAGGGGCGTGATTGTTAGATTTAATCGTGTTATTTCACATATAACCAAATGGGTAATGAGTCAATGATCAAATCAGTTAGTATGGTGTCAGTTAGTGTGTTTTACATACTCCGTATTTAATTAATTAAAAAAACAGTTGGGTAGTTTCTAAAAGTAGCTCTAGGTAGTTTCTAATGTTAATAGGTGTGTTGGTTTGTAATAGTTGTGTTGGTTAGTAAAAGTCGTGTTGGTTTGTTCTCTATTTATATTTAGAGAACACAGAATCGTGTAAAGTTCATAACAATAAATAATCTACTTTGCGTTGATCTGGTACAAACATAATTCTCAAATATGAAAATACGCCCTGCTTATTGAAAGTTTCTTTAAGAAAAATGCTAAGAAATGCTAAATCCGAAATAACAACATCACCATCATAAATTTCTAGGTGCCTGTCCTGAGTTCCATGATCAAATAAAATAAGACCAAACGGGAGAGAAGCATCTATTCTCAACAATTTTATGGTGTCAATCTTTTACCTTCCAAGCAGCATTTATTAGAGATTCACCTGAATGGTCGTTGGTTAGCAGCAGTAAGCTCTGCAAACCTACCCCTTGATATTATCTCTTTGTTAAAGCCAAGCTTTTCATATAATTTTCCAAGATTAAACTTCCCTTCAAAGATTACGTAAAGGATTAGAATATGCATCATACCAAGCACCAAACATCAGTGACGGATAGATTCAAATCTACAAACAGTTGTGTAAAAACTAGAAAGGAAAAAGAATCCTAGAGGAGTCCAGACTTAGTCTTACAGATTAATAAACTAATGAAAGAACCCCTTATATGCAAACTACTGCACGTCTGAATAAAGTTTCCAACAAGTTTAAGATTAGAACCCCTTATATGCAAACTACTGCATGTCTGCACACCAGATCTTGTTTGCAATGAGCTTTATAAAAACACGAGTACACGACACAAGACCATGGAAGTTACATTACCCCAAAATGTGATTGAATCCACTAACGTTTTCTTAATTCTCTAACCCAAGGGCAAAGGGGCCTTTGGCGCCTCTTAAGCTCGGTTGAAAAGTATACTCCCTCTGTCCCGAAATAAATGATTTTTTTTCCTTCTTCGGATGTCCCAAAATAAATGTCAATTTCGATTTAAGGAAGAAATGAGTGGTTCACATCATTTCTATCTCCTCTGCATAAACCTCCACCATATAATTTCAATTTTTCTTGAACTCTATGAAAGTCGAACGAGGACATCTATTTTGGGACGAAAAGAGTATAAATAAGTCTTTTGTGAATACGAACATTACTTATCCAACATGGAGAAAATATAGAAGTCAACCTACACAGAGTGTCGTTTGCATTTTAATTTCATAGATCACTAGTCATTTCCATGATATGGCACATTGGCACCAATAATAGACCGATTCCAGAAGTGGCAGAACTGATGAGATACCTCATTTCATTAAGAAACATGATGTTGGTCACTCTACTTGAAGAGAGACGATATTTTTTTTGTTTACCCTAATAATTTTTGTAGTTAGACCGACCTGCAACAACTCCAATTGAGCCAGTCAATGTAAGGTTTTCTGCCACAATAGCCTGTGCACCCATTGCCATATAGTATCCACCACTAGCTGCCACATCAGCCATTGATGCAACCACCGGTTTAGTCTCTGCCAAAAGTCTGATTTCCCTCCACATTCTGCAATAAGAAAATGCCAAAAAAATAAAAGTACTTCTGTGCTACAAAAGAGTCATGTTTGTAATCATGATTTTAATATTTTAAACATGACTCTTTTTTTAGACATACAAGTGCGTAGTAAATGTGTTAAAATTTCCCTTTTAGCTCCTTCAGCCACTTGCCATGGATTATTGGGAAGTAAAATTACTAATATACTCCGTACCTTTTAATTCAATGAAAGAAAAGCACCATAGCATGAGAGAACTTACAAGTCAGATGCGAGAGCATCACCTCCAGGGCTATCAATTCGAATAACAACAGCCTTGTACTTTTTTGATTCTGCAAGGAATTGATTCTCAATGACTAAAAAAGAAATGGATTACACAACAGCAGACCCTATAGAATCACAACTTTGTTAGGGCTTGGAGAGGGGTGGGGGTCAAGATGTACACAACCTTACCCCTCTAACAAATAGAGGTTGTTTCTGTTAGATAGTTTATGCATTACTGCATTTACAGCCCACTACTTAAAGGAAGTAAGAAAAAAAATAGGTTCAATGTGTCATTTTATTTTAGCCCATTATTTATCCGAAGCTAAAAAACGATCAATTATGACCTGTAGATCAAATCTTGTTATACCTTAAAACCACGTTGACCACAAAGATGGAAATATACCTCTAGCACTACGAATCTTTTCAATGAACTGCTCTGCTATAATGCTTGAACTAGGCACAGTAAATGAGCTACGTACACGACTAATGCTTCCAGAGGCTCGAACTAGAGCAATCTTATCCTTATAACCTGCAAGGTCAAGACTCCATCTCTTCGCTCGAGAGTATATCCTGTAATGAGTAGATTCAACAAAAGATTAAGACTTCAAAAGTAAAGATGTTGATGAACCAAGGCGAAGTATACAGTACAACAAGAGAACAAGCCGCCAGCACTGACTTTTTAGTAATTTAACTTATATTGAAGGGGAAATTGCACTGAAAAGAGATAACAACCTTTGCAAAAGCCAGAAACTTCCCAAAATGAAAATATTTGTTCAATAATCACTTTGACCATCAAATGAAAAAAAAACTGATGTACCCAAAGATTGGCACAGTTGATGAAAAGAGAGCAGGACTGTTGTAGAAAAAAACAGCATTTAGTATCAAATCCTATTCAAAAATCGCAAACAAAACCTTAATGCTGATGACTCCTAAAAAACAAAAGAACAATATCAAAACTTGACCTATAATCTACTGTGGGAAGACTCTTATCCTTTGAAGTTCCCAAACGCTCTTTCAACATTGACATAACCTGAACATTCAGCATGTCAGAGTACACAAACAACACTGCATGAAGAATAAAATGACATAGAAGATTAGCTCACTTGACTTATCAATTGATGGAAAAATATTTTTGAAGCAGAAGACTAATAATTATTAACAATATGTTTGGTTCAGTGAATCACAGAAGAAAGGAGAATGCCAAGGAAAGTAAAAAGAAGTCAAATAAATAAAAAAACTTAATCTTGTTTGGTTAGTAGGGGAATTCGTAAGAAAACTGTTTTTCAATAACTTCTTTGTTTGGTTTTTGTAGAGAAACAAAAGAAGGCATTGTTCAAAGAGGGGGGGAGGGCGAG